CTGAGAACAAATCAAAACACCTAAGAACAAGACAAAATATAGTATTAAAGAGAACAAGAAATCAAGGACAAGAATATTACTCCCATAATTAATCCCGCAATGGGGGAATAATCTGTATTTCAGCCATAAGGATCTCTGAAAAACTACTCAAAATACCCAAAACAAGACAATATAAAGTATTCGAGAGAAAATCAAGCACAAGATTTTACATATGTGCATATTTACAATGCATTTTACCCTCAGGATTTGAATATTGCACCTCAGTTGACTATTGCATAGTCCCTCATAATTTCACCAAGCTTATCACTGCAGTGATGTATTGTACAGTCTGATAGCTGTGGGGAGGAATGACCTTCTTGCACTGGGGATGTAACAGTCTTGTGCTGCAATAACTGTTCAGAGCCTCCACTGTGTGGTGCAGGGTTATCCATGATGGATGTTAAGTTTTGCCAGCATCCTTCTGTCTGCCACCTCCTCGATGGAATCCAGAGGGCAGCCTGGGACAGAACCAGCTCCCTTAACCAGCTTGTTAAGTCTCTTTCTGTCCCTGTCCGTGCTACCTCCTGCCCAACCCACAACAGCATAAAAAACTGCAGATGCCACAGTATCATAAAATGTCTGAAGGAGTGCCCTGCACACACCAAAAGACCTCAGTCTCTCCAACAAGTGGAGGCAACTCTGGCCCTTTCTGTACAGGACATCTGTGTTGTTGGTCCAATCCAGTTTTTTGTTGAGGTGGACACCCAGATATTTAATGGACACCCAGATATTTAAAGGTGTCCACAATCTCAATATCTGAGCCCTGAAGGCTCACCGGCGTGAATGGTGGTGATTTCCGCTGGAGGTCAATCACCATCTCTTTTGTCTGTGCAGATTCTCAGTCATCCAGGTCATAGTAAGCTGAAAAAACTTAGAAAAAATCAACTGGACTAGATTTCTAGGTCGAAGACGTTTCACCTCCTCATCCAAGAGGCTTCATCAGTTCTGACTGACTGGTGTTGAGCCGGAGATATTTATCCCGGGCAGAGATCTCAAAACAGGATTGTAGATGGATGACAAGTTGTGTCTTAGTCCACCACCCCTATTTAGTGAGGGGTGTTTTATTTTTACAAAAATAGCTTCCTTAACTCCTCTCTCAAACCAGCGATGTTCTCTGGAGAGGATCTGGACTTCACTGTCCTCAAAAGAATGTCCTTTGTCCTTCGGGTGGACCAGTCTCTGCCACAGGGTGTTCCCTGGTTTAAAGTTGACTGGGAAATTGTGGTTGTGAAATATCCTTTTTAATTTCTCTGATAAACCGGACATTCTTTTGAGGACAGTGAAGTCCAGATCTCTGCAAACTGTTACATGACAAAGTAGAACTTATGAAATGTTAAGTGGGCCTATGTGAAGATTAATTGTGCGGCAATTATCATACTGGGTGAAGTTTGGGAGGGTGGCAGAGAAGGGGAGGGAGGCATGGTTAAAGTCCCCGAGATAAGGATTACAGCCTCTGGGAGTTGTGTCTGCAGCCTAGACACAGTGCGTTGCGCGTGCTTGCACGCAGCAGTAGCGTCACCCGTGGGATTTATGTACACCATCACCACAATCACATGAGAGTGCTCCCTAGGAATGTAGTACGGCTGTACACTGATTGCTAATGTCAGCTCAGTGTCTCTGCTACAAAATTTTTCCTCAACAGTGATGTGCCCGGGATTGCACCATTTGTTATTTATGTACACCACCAACCCCCAGCCGCTTTTGTAACTATTCTTTAAAAAAAAAAAAATTGTAAAAAACATAAAACTTTGTATTGAAGTTTTACATTTCTGTCTCACTTTATTTTACAAACCTCCAACTAATGAATGAAGTGCAATATTTGTACTTTTCCAGATATAAACAGGAACAAAAAATAATAGAAACAGATTGTTTTTTACATCAGTCCTACTGGGCACAGTTCTTGAAGTGTGTGTATTCCATAGAACAAAATGTTACACAGTAATGGTAACTCTGGCTTTTTGTTTTATGGCTCAGGTTCTCATGGTGGAGGAATGGGAAGTTTTTCAACATCGGGAAAGATCCCAGGGTGGCAATGCAAAAACGCTCAGGAACCCTAGAGATCAGTTTTCGCAGTGGAGGACGACCAGAGGACTACGAAGGAGAGTACCAATGTTTTGCCAGTAATGACTTTGGAGTAGCCCTGTCCAACAAGATCCTGCTTCGGGTTTCCAGTAAGAAGAACAAATGTCATCATAAGCAACAAAGACATTGGGTTCAGTGCATTTATGGTGTCTCAAAGAAGAAAACACAGCAAATTCTGATGAAATTTTAATATACTTTCTAAGTGAGGACAAAAAAGGATGCCTAGTGCTCACTGAATCGCACTTATAGAAAGCCTTAAGATGCACTTGAAGATTAAAAAGCTAATCACAATAAATAAAAAAGTGTTTTTCAGACACTGAGGTAGAAGAAGGATTAAAGATATAATACAGCTATTTATTTAGTTGGGTGTATTACAAAAAACACTAACTGGTTTTGACCTTACTGAAAACCTGGTACTCTTTATAAACACAAACATAATCAACTAAACATCATGATGACATTAAAACATTATCATAAAAAGAAATAAATAA